AAATCCTGTAAATATGTTGTTTTTTTTTGTCCCCCTTTCAAAAGTTGTTTTTAACACTTCTCCAAACTCTGCCATAGGTGGAAAAACAGGAGAAAGCCCTGGAGCCAAGAGACTGCTCTGAGATTCATAGTTCAGTGTTATTTGTTTGGTTGGGGGCGCTTTCTTTTTCTTTTAATAAACTATCCCCAAAAGCCTATCTACCTAATGAGTATTATCTGCTTAATTTCCTGCAGGCTTCAATGCAGAAGCAGGTCAGTTGGTTTAATTATCAGCTATGGAGACGTGAAGGAACTTGAAATTCAGTTGAAATATACAGCGGCTTTTTCCCCTGGATTCCTTAGCATTAACAAAAATACCTGTTCAAAGAACAGATTGAGTCAGCCGTGACTTACAGAAAGATAAGATTCTGTGGCAGGAAAGTAATAATACTATTATTGTCCACTGGACAGGGTATATTTGCTTGGTGATTAGTGATGGCTAATACAGTGAAATGTTATACATAGAGAAACAGGCTGGAATTTACCTTCTGACTATCAAATCTCTTTGATTTTAAAAAGCAGTTTTACTCTTTCTACCTATATCGTGCTGTTGATTAAGAAATGACTTTTGAATTTCATGGTGTTAAATGCCTATGATACTATTCAGACAGAAGGACTCTCCATCTCTGTGACAGGCACACAACGCTTACTCCAGTGATTGGATCCTTCACTGGGAGTTTTTTGGCACAGGAGGGAAAAGCTTTTTCTTTTAAAATAGCCTTTTTCTGTGCCCTAGATAAAGTGTGAGGAAGGCTAAATAAGCAATAGTAGGTTGTCATGCCTTCCAAATTCACTTCTTTTCTCTCTCTCTCCCTCTCTCTTTTAAATCTTTATAATTCTGGGAGTTATTATTGGTAAGTCTTTATTCAGAGATAGTCTTGTAGAGGGCGCATTCATAAGGAAGGAAATCCAATTAATTTTGTTAGAAATCCAATAGTCTCCTGGTGAACACAGTCTTCCTCCACAAATCTGCAAGTTTATAGAGTTGCTAAGGCACTTGGAGCATCTGCACAGCTGAAAGACGGGGTTTGGGCTTAGTATGGCTAGAGTGATATCTGTAATATCCCATAGAAGTCCATTGAGAACACTTAAGAAAGTGCAATATCCTTTAAATGTAACCTTGATAATGAAAGGAAAGGGCTCCTGTTCCTAAATAAAAAACAACAAGCCCCGACAGGTCAGAATTGATACCAGCATTTGCTGCTGCCTGAAACTCCTGCCGAGCACTGAATGCTGCAAAAGTGTCTATTATTTTTAACTGTTGGGTTATTGTCCATCTTTAAGGATGGGGGAATTTTAGGAGCAGCAATTAATAATAATAATAAATAAATAAATAAAAAAGTTTAGTGTTATTGCAGACCTCTAGACAAAATACCTAAGGGGCAGAGGGTGAGCAAACAAAGGAAGCCAAAGGAAAAAGCAGGCTCGTTGTGGATAGAACAGCTTAGAAAACCCTGAACGGAGGGTTCTTTATATATAGCACCACATTGAGTGACAAAATGGTAGCTGTCATAATGTGCCAGTTAACATGTCCAATATGAGCCGATCGTTTAGTGTCCCCTGGGATTAGAAGACAGAAACATGACAAAGAACAAAGAACTTGGATCAATAATGCTTGGGGAAATAAGACAGAGAAGGTTATTTACTCTGCATTGATCCGTTGCTGCAGTCGCGTAAACTTGGCCTGTTTTTCTTTTGTTAACCTTTAAGCTTGAGTATACTCACAAGCAACTAGGGAGCCAACTAACAGGTGTAGATTAAGGATCGAAGGAGGTCACCGTACCTCTGTCACCACTAGGCACCCATGTAACAACATCCCTGAAGAAATTTAAACATCAATAGCTATAATAAGGGCAAATTTATCAAGCTTGGCCTACTTTTGCTGGGAGCCTGGCTGTGTCCAGTCAGTTTGCCCTTGCTAAAGCTCAATTGATTTGGACATTCTTTTACTAGAGTTGATTATCAATTGTGACACAACAAATTTGTTAGCTTCCAAGCACTGGAGTTGTTGTTGCCATTGGAGCCTCTGAAGTGAAAACACCTGGCTGTGTTCAAGTTTTACTCTTGTTGAGGCAAAGGGAAAAAAAGAAAAAACGGAAAAAAAAAAAAAAGGAAAAAAGAAAAGAGGAAGAATAGAAAAGCAGAGAAGCCCTTTCATAATCTCTCCATAGATGCTGGTTGTGTTGTAGATACCTGTACTTTGCAGCTGGAACATCTGGATTGCCATTTTTAGAAAATTAGGAGCATGAGGAAATATTAACTTGAAGGAAACCGTTTTCAGCAGGAAAAGTCCCAACAGCTGTTAGCTATTCATTTTTTATGTTTTATGATTTGTCACCTAAGTCATATGGAATCATTCCTGTTCCCTGTGTGGATGACAGACGTTTGAAACAGAGAAGTAATGAATACCGTATGATGGGCAGCAATATTCTATAAGCATGGCCATTCAAAAGAAATAATCATTCTTGCTGAACTTCACATAACTTGTTAAATGTGAAAATCCACTCACCAATGCTCAGGAGCTGTAGTTAATTAGACTAAGTGGACATTTTGTGTAGAATCATGATGGGATAGAATTTATTTGTTTTAAATAATGACCCTGTCTTTTTCAGTCTAATAGTAAATGTTTCATGTTGTGCCAACAGGATTAGCAGTACATTAAAACTGTAATTCTGGAAATATTTATCTTATTTACTTCAAAATCAAAAGGCTTATTTATTATTTAGCATCACTATAGTAGCTTTTCTACTTTTCTGAAAGTATACACCCCTTGTCATGCCATAAAACATTTCTACTCGTGAATCACAGAATAAGTTAAAACAATCAAATAGCATAAAAATGAAATACCTTACACTTAAAATTTGAAAGTCACTTTTAAAATTCAGAAAATAAAAAGTTAATAATGTATGGCAGGCTCTCTAAAACAAATACTTTATCCAGAATTTTGGGATTGGAAGAGTGGCCAAACTGAAACATTTCCTTTAAGAATTATATTTTGGGTTTTGATCAGCCCTCTAAAATACTTGTGCAGGATGAACATGCATATGTCTGAAGTACAGGGGCATAAAATCAATTTACCACAAATGCAGGCAGTTGCAAATAAATTGCATTTGCTTGTTTATCTGTTTGTTTTTTCTCTTCACTTTTACCTGGCACCTACTGCTACCTGATAGTGAAGGTGGATGAAATTACAAACATGGTCCTACTCATCTGCCACTCTGCAGTACTTTGGGTCATTGCTGGTACTCAGGCATTGTCTGGCATAGGCAAGGCTCAGCCTAGTGTTTTCTGAAGGATTCTAGAAAGGAACCCCCTGTATTACATTTCCTCTGTAGCTTGATTTCACATAGCAGAGACACTTGCACCACAGTTGCTTGGGCTATCCTTTATCCTGGCAATCAGAAATCCTCAAATTCAACTGAAGAAAGGTTGCATCTTTCTTTTTGTTTATTTGTAATAATGAGGCACAAACAAGGAACATATTGACAAAGGAAATGAGACTTCACTTTCCTCTAAGAGATGGGAATCTGCCATTTGAATCTCTTGGCGTGCAAAGATTCAGCATGTGACCCTTGCCCCATCACCCGTAAAAGTGTCACCACAGTTTTTAAGAGCATTTAAGGCATTTAAGAGCATGGGAGGGAGAAGGCAGCAGCTTTTAGGGCATCAGAAATGACAGTAATGTGCACTGGAACTGTCTGCACAAGCGAAGTGCGCTGAGGCAGTTGTATTAGATCAATCTGTGGCAGAAGAGAAGTCACTGACAGTTTATTTCTGTGTTGGAGAATAAGCTACAAAGTGCATACTCCTCATTAGGATAAATGGAGAACAGCTCAGTTTTGTCCACACCAAAACTTTTTACCAGCTAATGGCTATTCAGAGCTCTATGTGAAATGAGTTAGGACTCTCTTAGCCCTGCCACTATGATAAAAAATAGCACCCCGGTTAGCAATAATAAGCATCCTTGGCCGAGGGTCTATGGATTGAGTGAGCATGGAGAATGAATTACCTTCTTTCCACGAGATGTGGTCCCTTTAGGTCAGGGCTCAGGTGAGGGGGAAAAAATGTTATGGAGTTGCTCTGATTTACAGCTGAGGACCTGGTCTTAATGGCTCAATGGGGTCTTGAAGGTGCTTATCTGCACTGGGAGCCTGAGAGCAGACCTGCCTTATGGAGGCAGAGCAAGCCTGTCTTGTGGGAAGGCCAAGGGGGCACCTGCTCTTGGCACTGTCCCCTGCCCCATGAGGAGGGTGGGACCACAGCACAGGACCTTGTCCCCCTCCCAGGCAGGTTCCAGCCACATGCAGCCCTCATCGTGCAGCTCTGAAACATCCAAACCCCCATGTGAGGCTGCTGAGCACTGTACAAGAAAAAGTTTGGGAAGGAGGACCTAAGATCAAGCTGGGGTGGAACCATTTCCCCAGACTAAACAGGGCAAACTTGTGGCTACTCTAAGGAATCTGCCTTAGTGCTTGCCTCTGCAGTAGACTGCTCCAAAATAATGGGGAGTCCATGAGCAGAACTGGAATGAATGTGGGATCAGGTCTTCCTCTAGCCAAAGAATAACTCATTATAAAAACAACATGAAAAGAAACAAGAAGAGAAAATAAAGTGAAGAAAAAGGAGAGAGGGAATGGCATGCAAGCAATGCTCTATTTGCTGAAAGGCTTGTGCAAAAAAAACTCCAGCACACCTTATGAAGGGACTTAAACACAAACATAAGCAATGTAAATCTTTCAGACTGGGCTTTGGAGCCAGAAAATCAAAGCACATGACGCTATATCAAGACATCACATTTCCTGGTTGCATGCTTATGCTAGCATGCCTTCCTCACCCAGAGGCCTTGTCCACCCTGACCTGTTCCCTTGTATTGGCCAGTTGGCCACTTGGCTCCTCTCCCAGCAGCCAGCGCTCTCCAAGTGTGACATCGATCATTGCAGTAGTGAGGAAGATGGCACTTACCTGATGGGGTAGGCGGAAGCTCCCTCTCTTACCATATGCTGGGAATTGTCAGTGGCTGCTTGAAGCCAAGGCTGGCTTTTTCTCCTGCCAGGAAACAAGCCTTTTTCCAGAGCTTGCCAAAAATATAAAAAAATAAAAAAATATAAAAAAAAAAAAGAGAGAGAGAGAAAAGAACTTTTTGCATATTACGTTTCACACTGAGCAGTTTTACTGCAGGCTGGGCAGCACCAGGAATTATGGATCACAGTTTCCTTTGGCGCTGAGGACAGGCAGCAGACATTAAAATAAGCACAACAATGAGAAAAAAAAAAAAAAAAAAAAAAAAAAAGGAAAGACAGAAAGACAAAAGAAAGTGTTTATATTGATTCTCTCCAGAAATACAAGATCTGCCACAGCCAAGTAGACTACTGAGTCATTAAAGGCAGCATCCTGACTCCAGGGGTGCTTCAGAGGAAGAGGAGGGGAGGAGGCACGCTGCCAATTGTTCCATGTCCTTTGGAGAGAATCGCCTTCCTGATCCTGGCCTGGCTGTGTCCTGGCACATAGCACTTCAATTCTCAGTAATATTTCTCAGTTGCAAAGACCCATTTCCCTTTTCACTGTTAGGCTAGAAGGAGCCTAGTGTCCATGCATGCTTGCACCACTGCTCCAGACTGACTGACAGTGGGACCAGCTTCCTGGTCCTTTTGGCCCTACACTAAAAGACTAAAGCCAACATGGATAACAGAGATGTTAATCCTTTATAAAGAAGACCTGAAAATATAATTTTCCTTGGGAAAGTTTGGAAAGTATCATCAAATGGGTGAATTGGACGTACATAATTGTAATGTCTCACACCACAACATGTAGTTTCCTGTAGATGCCATCACTATATGATAGTCCAAAAACATTAATTCCTAAAATGCTGTGACAACCCCCTGACTTTCTGGAGAATGTAGCTTGCTCTGTTGGGTCCAGCAGCTTCAATATTCTCCTGCTGGCAGTTGGCAGACCTGACTCAAAGAAAGGAAGGACAACATCTCTGTAAAGGGTCTAGAAATTTTAAAGATAGAATTAAATAAAAGAACTGGGGGAAAGGGCATTGGAGAAAAAAAAAAAAATGTCTGCTCTTTCAGTATCTGGCAGTGCAAAACCTGATGCTGTATCAGAAGAAATCAGTTTTTGAAACAGATCACTTCCTCCTCTTCATAAATATCCCTTCTTTCCTTCTTTATACCTTTATACCATTTTTAACACACACACAAAAAAAGAAAAAAAAAAAAAGCCATCCAGACAGTGATCTCTTCTGAATTACAAATCACAAAAAAAGTTTTTCTTTCAGTGAGGGGGTGGAGTTGATGTGTTAGAAATCCAGGCCAAGGGATTACTTCACATTTCTTCTAAGGAATGAAACCTTTTTTAAACCTTTTTTTAAAAAAAAAAATAAACCTTTTTTTAAAAAAAAAAAAAAAAAAGTCTATTTTGTATTACTCAGCAGTTCTTTTTGCTTTTTATTCTTCTATGGAAAGTTCTCTCTTTTTTTTTTTCCCCCTAATAAAGTGTTTATTACACAGTCCTGCACACTCACACATACACATGCGTACACACAAATGACAGAGCTCTTTATAAAGAGAAAACCAGGCTGGCGCTGCAAAAGTGCAGAGAAGATCTTTCGCTAAAATGATCTCAAGGTCAGTTTTGGGGGTCTTTAGGTTTCTATATTCAATCCAACCACGTTTCATGTCTCTGCTTTGCTTGCTTAACTTACAAGAAACTTGGGCACAATTTTGCTTGTGTTGGCAGTTTTTAGGTGTGGATTCATGCAGGCTATTTACAAGATGCCAAGGGATGTCAAATCCTGAACATGTGTTTTTGTCCTACAGTCATTCTCTGACAGCAGAAATAGTCTGCAGCTTATCAGATCCATTTGCTGATATTTAACATCTTTTTTTCCCGACAAAGGTTTGGGGTGAGATGAATTTTAATGTTTCTCTGTGCTGAAGCTGACAAAAAAAAAAAAAAAAAAAAAAAAAAAAAAAAAAAAAAAGTCTTTACGCATCTAAGTTAGAAAGTGGAGCTTTAAGCTGTGACAGAAAAAAAAAAAATAATTAAAAAAATACTCCCTTATTTACAAAATTTTTACTTTTCATACTTATATGTAATTTGTTTTATTTAAAACACTAAAGGTATTTGTTAAACATTTTACTCAATCAAGAGGTACAGACACTGTTACAGACTGAGACATACAGTTTAAGGAAAAGAATGCATTTTAATGTATATTTCTGATATAATTGATGAAACACTAAAAAGTCTGATTGTGATTTTTTTTTCCTGTGGTTATATTTCAATAAACTTGAGATAGATATAAAATTACATGTCCCCCTTTTAATATTAATTTGATAACAAACAAACAACAAGAAAAGTAGTTTTTAAAACACAAAGATTTTGGTAAAACTGTCAAGTAAAATAGTGCTATCTGAGGCTATAATCCTAAACAATTTTAGGAAGCAGTGAACTCCCAAAATTGAGGGTTTTATAAAAATATATATGTTCTTGGATACAAGAAGAACTACACAGGGAAGAGACGAGAAACTTAAATAAGCATTTATATAGATATAGAAAGAGAGGTAGCATTTTGTAGAATAGTTGCATGTTATGAACACAAGTACAATGAGTGAGTTTAATTTTGCAGGCAAAAATTGCTAATGAAAAGGGGGAAATTTTTCATGAACCTGAGTCATAATAAATATTTGAACTGTGTCTACTATGTGAGACACCTTTTAAATTCATGGTGCCATATACCTATGTTTTCATGTAACAGCAGATTTGTCATCCTTGGTTTATGCAGACATCATTCTGTTATTCTGCTATTTTTCTTCACTAACCACCTTCATCAAGTTCTTTGTTTCAGCATAGCCTGTATGTTAAAACATGTCCAGTGCTGTAACCTTATGCCTTAGAGGTATTACGCAGCAGAAATAAGTTCCTAATTTTTTTCTGGCAGTGACAGAGAAAGCTAATCTGTAAGTCTGAATGCTTGGTGTCTTCTCCAAAATTATCCAGACTGCTTTTGTTCGCAGAAGTTGGGTTGTGCAAGCTGATGGTGTGTGGCTTGTCCCAGTAAGTTACGAAGAACAATCTACTTGAGAGGTTTCCAATTATTCTTACTTCTGGTCAGGTTAGATGTACAATTAGATCAAATCCCTGACAGATTTTTGGCTTCTCCAGTGTCAGGCCAAGCCTGTATTAGTCAAACCGTACACAGATGGAAGTGATTTTTTTTTTTTTTTGTTAGCTCTTACATGAATTTGATTGTCAACAAAATCTTTCTCGGCTTTCAGCAAACTTTGGAGTTGGCCTTCATATCTGAGGTGGGGTGTCCATTTCCACCATATGAGTTTGGCTTGGCAGAGGCAGTTCAGCTGATCAAAACTCATATAATTTAAAACCAAATAGTTTGTACAGACCTCATAAACTAAACATTTCAAAGGAAAGGGACGTATGGGCAGAGGTGACTCCTGGGATCCTTCCTGCTCACGGTTTCCTCTTCAGCTGCTCTGCCGCCAGCTCTTCTCAATCTATTGCTGTTCCACTGGGCCTTGTCCTCTACTTTGTTGGCAAATAAGGTAAATGACCCCTATTCTGGCTGCCCATATGCTGCTAACATCACTGGTTTTGTTTCAGCAAACTGCATGAGGATGGTATAGACAGATGCCAAAAAAGAGGGCCCCCATAAGCCCAGTAGGCCCTGCTGTGAATCACCAGCATGCCAGGGTGAGTGGCAGCCGGCATCTCCTTGGTTATTGAAGAGAGCAGCTGTGTCACGTTCAGTTAGTTTACATCATAATCTAAATCAACCATGAAGGATGAAGATGCATAGAAGGAAAAACACAACAAAACAAAACAAAACAAAAACAATAAACTGAAGGGATGTGTTCAAACGAAGTCCTGTACAAACTGCCTTTGGGTTCAGTCCTAACTAAACAGAGTGATTGCAGGAAAGGGATGGCTCGGTTGCCAATGCCTTACAAAGTGTCTGCCTAACATGAGAGAGAGCAGATTTGTCCTCTGCACGCAGATGCTTGTATTCTTATTATTCTTTCCCTCTGCTTCCATGTCCTTGTCTTCCTCGTGTAGCCCTGACATTTCATTAGTTCTCACCTCAGACTGCAAGCAGGTCCATGGAGAACACACAAATTCGTTACACTTTGGCACAAGGACTTGTGTTAATTGTGATACAGCTAAAGGCTGTTACTGCAGATTAAAGGACTGTGACACCTGTCCCCAAATCAGGGGTGGTGTTAGCTCAGCCTTTGGCTCCAAGAACTCTGATCATGCAGCAGTTTATTTTTCACAAAAGTATGATAAAATATGAAATGGCTTTATTTCTTGTATGTAAGGGGTTAATTAATTAATTAATTTCCTCTCCATGTGAAGCTGTGGGTTCACAGAGCAAAAAAGAGGGTAAGGAAAGGGGCTATAAAAGGATGAGTGTGTGCTATAGGAACCATTTTGCTTTGAGTCAGAGAAGCTGAGGAGTTTTTACCACTCTTTGTGCTCATGTATGTAGCTTGGATGCAGATATGTAGGTTCTATAGAGTATGGTTTATAGGTAGCATTATAAAATTGGCTGAAAAGGTTTAGGTGTTGCTTCTCTTTTATACAATCCTGTATTTTGAGGATTAGAACTTTTTAGTGTGACATCTGGGAAGATTTGGAACAAAGTTCTGGTACGAGAAAAATCACTTAATGAGCTCTAATACGGGCCTTACAGAATTCTGTAATGAGATACCTTGAAGAGACTTTGAAAATGATAAGGATACAGTGAGCAGGATATAACACATAATCCTAGCTAAATTCTTTACTTTATTTCCTAAAAGAAGTGGGCAAATTTCCTTGTACCTGCTAGAAAGAAGTCCAGCTGTTTCAAACCACAGTGATTCCCAGCTCATCACAGCTAGTGTAGATTCCAGAAGCAGAGGTGAAACAGGCTGGTGGAGGTCTTGCTGGGGTGGCCAGGTTGTCATGCCAGCCCTTAAAGCATAGGTAGACTTATTTTAAAATTTATTTTTTCTGGCTGGGACTTGAGCTGTATTTCAGATGAACTCCATAACCTAGAGACATGGTGGAGACCAAGAAGGAATAAGCAGCAGCAGGAAGAGGCAGCTCTGAGGAGGCAATGTCTCCGTGGCTCCAGGAGGTGATATAAGTTGGTTAGGCAGGGCTGAAGCACTTGTCACTTGGTGAGAAGAGTAATAAAAAAGTGAATGCTCAAATAAGTTGATCATCCTCTCACAGATGCAGCTGCTGAAAAACAAATGGAAGTCAGCAGTAGCTGAAGGCCTGCATTGGTTGAACAATCTGCTGAGGACTGTTCCAGGACGCTCCACAGAAAATCGTGAGGTTTGACAACTTTATTTCAAATATTTTGGTGGGCAGAATAGAAATCTGAATAGTGTATGTACCCTGTGGTATGGCACAGAACAGAGAGGTACTTAGTGGGTGTCCCTTGCAGCTTAGTGCTCTTCTGAGTGAAACATGGACCAGTGCCTACCCTAAATCTCTTACTGAGTTTGGTTGAGTTAGACAGGTCCTTGTCCACGCTTATTGCTTACAAATTTTTCTCAGCGAGCTGCCTGTTAGAAACATCTTGCTTCTCTGAGGGCCTAAGGGAGGAGCATGAGGTACAATGGCTCCTTGGGGCTGGAGTAGTACAAACATTGCATGGATACAAGTTTGGCTTGTTTCAAGAAGCTCCTTACAAAACAACAAAAACAAAACAAACAAACAAAAAATGCTTTTCTGTTTTGAGTGATATCTATTTGAGGAGATGTTGATTTTGTTGGTCCTTGGGGTGGTAACTCTAGTGCCAGGTTACACCAGCAGGTATTTTAGGTAAGTGGGCTGCTTGTAGCAAAAGCTGTATCTGCAGAGTGCTGTGGGAAGCTGGGTTACTTCTCATCTCCTGTGAAAAGTTTTCAGATATGAAGACAAAGAATATTTACGCCAGATACCTCTCACTTTCCAAGCACAATACATACTTTCCCTTCTTTCTTCAAATGCAGTTCCTTTTACAAATCTCTGTGGAGAACAATACAATAATCAGCTCTTAACATCTAATTATGCCTTTCCCTTTATAAAAGAAACTCATATTCTTAAATAACACTTCCTGGCAGCAAAGAGCTTTGTGGCTCACTTTGAAAGAGGGGGAAAAACAATGCAACCCAACCCAAATATCTTCAGATCATTAATGTACAGGGAATTGGGTGCAGAATCCTTTCTTAGCTTCATCACTAGATGAAAATAATACTTAGCCTTAAGCACTTTACTGTGTTCTTGTACTGAATGCCAACAATAATCTAATCAGTTAACAATTCTTATTCTGATGATCATTTTCCTGTGAATTGTTTCAATGGAAGGGAAAAAAAAAAAAAAGAATATAAATAAATGAGACATTTTTTGCTGGAAAGATGATGGCCAACCAAGAGTCCACTCTTTTGCTCTTGGCTTCTTGTAACAATTCAGGTTCTTCTCCCTGCTGGGTGAAATGTCAACCTGAAGGGCAGTAAGCTAAAAAAGGCCCTTTACTCTGAAATATTACCCCTGTTTTGCCCAGAGGCATTTTGTAGCCTAAGCAAAACACTTGAGGTCTGCAACTACTGGCCTACATGGCAACTTCCCTTTGTCTGTGCTGCAGGAATAAGGTTGGGTTTTGTTTCTTAATATAAGAATGATTGTGTTTTTTTCTTCTTGTGGAGTAAATTTCAGCCCCAAAAATGTATGATATGTGCTGCATTTGGTGCACTCTCCCCGAGGCAAACCAGGGGATCTGTAAGTGGTACTATTTTTCCTATCAGCCCTGGAGAGTAGTGTGGCAGCCCTGCGTGTTATTAATGGATAAAATCTGAGCAGCAGCCAACCCCAAGGTGAACCCTATGCATTTAAAACATTTCATCAGACAGCTAAGTATTTTTTTTTCCTTCACTACAGCGGATATCTCTACTGCCACCACTCAATAGATCCCGATAGAAGAGAGCAATAGCTGGACTCACTAATGTGAAAATTGATAGTATGAGCTCTCCAATGAAATATAAACAGCTCTGTGTTTCTTAAGTGTCAATATCACGGGGCTGGGCTGAGGAGGTGGTGTGGTGGATTAACCCTAGAATTATCCAGGAGGGGAGAGAAGCTGATAAATAGGAAATATTTGTCCAATCAGCCAGGGATCATTTCTGAAGTGGATAAGATGGGCTGCTGTTGACTCCCAGCTGCTGTCAGCTAGAAACTCAGCTACAGTTTACAGCTCCTGTTATTGGAGTGTTTCCGGAGGTAGGAGGAAGGTCAGACTGGACTCTTCTCTCCTCTCCCCCTCCCCTTTTGTCTGGAAGAATTGAGTAAAAGAAGGGAAGATGAATGGTGTGAGAATTAGGACTGCAACTCTGCAGATGCCTTTGCAGATGCACAGATGCAGGCACCCTGCACTGGGAGCAGTTCCTGGCAAGCTGCAACACTGCTGTCGAAACAGCATTTATTGGAAGAGCAGCTTACACTCAGGGGAAAACCTGCAATACATGGAATATGCATGCTCACTTATGGAGAACTGAGACCTTGCCCACTCACTCCCTTTTACAGAAACACTTACCGTAACCAGAAGGGACCCTGCAAGGGGCCCTACCTGCCTGCAAGGGCAGGCAGGTAGGCTGCCATTTGGATGTTTTCAGGGGTCAGATTACCTAACCCATTCCACTGTTACTGTCTCCATTCATGGATAATGAAGGAATGTTCCTGGCTCCTTCTGTTCTGGCTGAGAAACTGAAATCAGCCAAGTCGATTCCCTTGGTGTCATCAGAGTCACATCCTGGTCCTGAGCTGGACTTGACCAGGTGTGAGTTACAAATAATCCAGGGCAATGTTGTTCTTTTGTCAAAGAAATGGTTTCCATGGAAACTCTAAATATACCCAGGATTATGTAAGTTTATATCCAATACACCTCTGGAACATTTTTATAGGTAGGTTGCAGAAAGGCATTTTTGAAAAGAATTCATGTAACTTTCCTTGACATTTGTTCTTTTTGCAAAAAACAAGCAATTCTGCGTAGTGGTTTTCAGTATTTAACTAGTAAGATTATGGAGTTAAATATGGGCAAACTGGTACAAATAAGCCTATCTTTGACTAGGAAGGGTTGTAGAAGGGTAAAAATTTAAAAGGTATAAAACATACATACTATAAATCATCACAAAATCACTGAAAACCATATAAATACATATTATATAAAGTGCTTTTCATGCCTATGTGGCTGGAGACTTGGACTTCTTAAGTTTCTTTTCTTCAGCTTGTTTACTGAGTTTTCAATCTGCTTGTTGAGGCTTAAGGACTCTTCTACTTGCGAGTCAACCCTAGAACCAAAGCACGTGGTGGAGGATCATACCGAAGTTGAGGGTACTTAACCCTGAGTAGGCAGACTGAAGATTTAGTAAACAAGCCGAAAAAGACTTGAGGTAAGGTGGCAGAGCAGCCCTTTGGGAGAAGGGAGAAAGGGAAATGTTATCAGGAGGGAATCTCAGCTGCACTGCAATAAATGTGTGAGGGAGGCCCTCCCTCCAAGCACTCTCAAATCAGCAGGGATTTTTTCTTCTTCTTCTTTTAACTTAAGCAAGCTTCAGACATTTTCAGTGCCCTAACTCAAAGCTTTGTCACCGAGGTTTGAAAACAGCTGTTGGAACCCAAGACCTTACTCCGTGCCTCTTCCAGTCCCCAGTTTTGCCCAGGCCTGTTTTGATATTGCTGTAGGCTTTGTAGATATACAGCCACAGCACTGGCAAACTGCAGGACTGAGCAGCTGGGACTTCAGAACAAGGCAGAGGTAAAAAAAAAAAAAAAAAAAAAAAAAGTCATGAAGTGTCCTAATGAATGAGAACTGGCAGCACCCAGCTAATTAAGACTGGTCTGGGAAGCAAAGACTAGAAATTGTTTTGGAGTCCAAAGAAGACAATGCACCACTCAGAGCTGCACTGATCTTGCTTACAGTTAGAACTGGCCAAGTCACTCCCTCTTTTGCCTTCTTACCATCTTCAAAATATACTGTTGTTTAAAGATAAAATAAATAAATAAAATAATAGTAATAATAGAACAACATCCTTGCTGGATTTTTTCTCCATTATTTGGTTAAGAATTTGACATGCCAAATAAAATTTTAAAATCTGCATTTGGAAGATTTTAGGTTGGATTTAAGTTGGATAAAGAAGATTTAGTTTGGATTGGTATAACAATTTTCATAAAATGAAATACAGAATTCAGATTTATACAAACAAAATATTTTTTTTAGATTTCAAACATCCATTTTCCCATGCACAAGCTAGAGATCTCTAATGTAGTCTGAGCATCTCATGTAATTCAATGACATCAAGAGCAGAGTTAAAAGACAAGACATGAGTATCATGACAAAAAAAAAAAAAAAAAAAAAAGACTGGAAGACCTTAAATCTGTGTCCACAGATCTGATCAAGGGGACTCTACAAAATCCTAGTACTGGCTGACTGCTTTTGGTCTGCATGAACTTGTTATAGGTGGGGAACTTCTTTCTTTGAGAGGTCTCTCTGCTTGAGAAGGCTGGAATTCTTTCATGAAATATTGAAGATATATCTGAAAACATTTCCGTATCAATTTTTATATTAACAATACTTTTTTGAGAAAGCAGTCCCCGTTTTCTGACAAACTAATGAGAGCTTAGTTTTCTGTTTATTATTAATGAATACGTCCAAAAGTTTTGCTGACATGTTTATTATCAATGGATCAAAGCTAGATTGATAAAATAAACTAATGTCATGAGTTGAGCTGTTTGGAAAGTTTTTCTGAGTAGCTGATGTAAAACTGAAGAGAAAGACATCCTGTGCCAGCTCTCCCTTTTTGGTTGGATGGAAAAGGCCATCAGATAGCAAATTCCTCTCCCCTCAGAGGGTAATGTTGAGAAAACCTGGGCATCCAAATAAGAGCAAAGCCAGGAACTGTCTGTGAGGAATAGTGTATACAGCTGAAACCAGGGCTTCTCTGTCCTAGTAACAGCACATGAGATGACATGTATTGCTACCTCACTTGATTTTGCTTTGCTTCCTTCTCCTATAACTTTTCCATGGGCTGGAGTCATAGGTAGATATATGGGTGCCAGGCTCTGAAAGTGGCACTGGGTTGGAAAAGGAAGGAAAGAAAAAAAATAAACGGTAGCCTTATATGAAGGATGGAAAAATTTTGGTGCTTTGGGAGGATGCCTTTCTCTTAAGTGACAGTGCACTGTCACCAGTACGGTGTGTGTTTTCTCAGTTAAGTGCTTCTCTGGCTAGCAGTGGCAATGCAAACCTAGCAGGAGTGAGTGCTGGAGTGCCCTGAAGTTCATTAATGTGTGATCTGATTAAATAACTGTTCCAAGAAAAGGACACATTTATTGCTTGACTTCTCTGAGCCCCAAGACGGGGTCCTTAAATCTGGCAGGCTTCTCCCTGAATTTAACTCTCAGGTACTTGACAAAAGAAAATAACAGTGACATTACTTACCAGGAAGTCTAATTAATTAACTGCACTCTCCACACTAGGGAAGGGATGTTTCTGGGTGGCAAACCCATCTTTCAATTTAGTCCCATTTGATTCTCTCCGAGAACCATGTTTAAGACCAGTAGTGAACTTTAACTACTCTAAGGATGGAGAAACTGGATTTAAAATCTGGATTTAAGAAACATGTGAAGATGAGGGAGGATAGTTTTGCCTTTCATGAGGCAAACCAAGGACCTTGTATGTGTGCTGTGGAAAGTTTTTGAAACATCTCTCTTCCAAAAAGTCTGTAAAAATGCTGAGCTGAAAGACTCAAAGTAACTCACTTGAGACTCATTTTCAGTACAGCTAAAGTTCTGAAACCCAGACTGCAAAATCTCAGGAAGCAGCTGGGTTCCTAATTAAAACAAAACGTTAATAGATTTAGCAGGCCAAATTTATGCTTTTCAATTAAAAATGCTATTGGTCTTGGTATCTGCTTGTGTGCATGTGTGCACTCACGAGTGCTGGAGATAGGTATAAAGTGGTGCTGGAATGCACCAAGGGCTTGGGTCAAACCTCTTGTCCATGCTGTGTGCTAAGGGATTTGGAACATCTTGGTACCCAGAGCATAACTTCAGAGCAGAAGAGTATGTGTCAAGACAAATGCAGTGTCAAGGGTTCTTCATGCATTTATTTCCCGACTACAGACTGTCCTTCTGCATGAAGGCATTTTTCTCACAATAAGTTTTTCTGATTTGAAAGCTACAAATGTTTTACAGTCTGCATGATGAGTCCAAGCTATTTATTGACTGGTAGTAACCAGGAAGAATTTGTCCTTCAATTAGCCCTGCTGTTGATTGTGGTTTTTTTGTTTTTGTTTTTGTTTTTTTTCCTCCACATACTGCTGAATTTCACACATCAGACCAGAGAATCCATTTGCTTCACTAAGGTGGCTCTTTCACAGACATTTCACTAAAACTGGGGCAAAAGCAATTTTGTTGTTGGTGTTATTAAAATTATTTTTATAGCATGACAATATTTCTCATTATGCCAAATTTGATGAACTGATTTTATTTCCATCTTTTTTTTTTTTTTTTGTACTGAGACAAAGATTGCATCTGTATGTTTTTATCACAAGAAAGAAAGAAAAAAGCCATGTGTTGCCTCAAAACACTAAGCTGCCGAAAAGTACTTTTGTTGCTTCAAAAAATGAGGCTAGGATCTCACATAGTTGCTTTTGAACAAGAATAAGCTAAATACTGCTGTAATTTTGTAAAAGCTAATTTCTCTTTTCAAGTTAAATAGAGGGCTACTTCTATAGATAATTCCTGCTCCACAAAATAAATAAATAAATAAATAAATATCCAATTCTGTGTTTTCAAAAGCTGATGAGAAGAGAAACTTCTCCCTGCAGTGAAATGTGAGGTAATTTTTAAAATCAGAAAACCTTCACAAAAAAAAAAAAAAAAAAAGACAGGAGGAGACCATGTATCTCCCAGATCCTGTCCTCAGCTGATCACGGGACTTTCACTGTGCCTGACCCCTGCATGGTGTTCAAATGAAAATAGAAGCTCCAGTCCCACCTCCAGTCCTCTGAATATATAGATATTTATTCATTTGTGCTATAAATGGGGATCTTGGGGTTATCGGTTCACTGTAGCAGATTCCAAGGCAAAATTGGGCCCCTCTCTATATACAAACATTTGTAACAGCAAAAGACTCTGTGGGCGCTATGGCTAAATGCAGGCTGGCTGCTCCATCTGCCTAAAGATTTGCTGCAATGCTCATATTTAGTACATTGCTTTGCAAAGTGTTTTCTGAGATATCTTGATGGCAAGCAAACAAATTTCTCTTATATTGTATTATAACGGGCAGCACTGACCTGATTTATCCTTGCTACACAGAGTCGCGCGGTGAAGATGAAGTGGTTTTGCATATTCTGGAAATGCAGCAGTCCCTGAGATGCATTTCGGGTTGTCATGCTGGCAGCCAGAGGAAAGGGGGAAAAGCTGTGTGAATTCCACAGTGCTGCACTGAAACCCTGGGAAGCTCATTTAGTCAGAGATTAAGTTATGGAGCTAAATCTGAAAGTGAGAAAGGAGAGGAAAAGCTATTGAAAACTGAGATTCTACTGCTGACTATGGAGGCCACATGACCCTGACACATAACTTTTACTGAGTTGACTATATCTCACTTCCTTTAAGTGCCTGTCCCTCCCGCTCACTCTCAAGGACTTGGCCAATCTCCTTTTGTAAATAGAACAATGCTTTATATTTCTCTATTACTCTGGAGTGACTATATCAATAATGCAGGAAAGGCATCTGTCCAGCACAATGAGATTATTTTTCTGATTTCGGTTGACAGTTATGGTAATAGTTTGGCAAACAATCTACTCCACCATCAATGACCACAGATTACAGCTGTTTTTAAAAATCTCAGCTGCTCCTGGAAACTTAGAAGATTGATTACATGGACAGAAAGAGACAGAAAGATGTGTCAAAAGCTTTTATGGCTGAAACTTTTAACTCTGTCTTGCTCCCTTTTTTGCCTTGATTCTGAAAGTCGATGTGCAGTCAGTCTCATAGTCGCCTTACGTGAGTGCAGAACATAATGAGTGGAACAAGTAAACAAATGATCGTGCTTCAAAGGGAATTGAGGAGCTGCTTTGCACCAAACCATTCAAAAACCAGAGTGGGAGCTGTAAAATAACTGGCAAGGCTTTTACATTACTGAAAATGCAAAGTTTTGCATATTATTTCCTCTGCAATACAAGGAAGGTGCTGTATGCAGGATCAGAGCTTTCCTGGATCAGGCTCAGTGGGCTGAGCAAACCCTGAAACCTTCAGCCAGCTCTGGGTGGGGTGTGCACACCAGGTGTTGGTGTGCCCTCCTGACTGAGGTGCTGGGGAAGGTGGCCAGGGCTTGCCCTTTTTTCCACTTACAATCTGAATTTGCTCTCATGGCTTTCTTAAGGTCTCATTGGGCAGCTAATGGATTCGACTGGGAGGTACCTCCAGGGTGATAAGAAAATCCCTGACAAAAAGCCTTATTTCCTTTCGTTATACATGTTATTTATCTCATGTGAATCAGAACTGGGGCCTTACAATCAAATATGAACCTTACAGAGCTTAACACTACATTAAAGGGCTCATAACTTCCAATAGTTAGAGTGGAAAATGAACTGTTTCATATGTATATGCCCTTTATGCAAAGAACAGGAATAACACCATGAGATCTGTGTGTCTGACTAGCCCTGGAATTTCAGATACTGAACGTTCACAGTGAACTGCTCAGGGACAAATTTGCAGAACAAGAATTATCCTTAGAAATTATTCAGTAGATATTTTCAATTTGAGTAACAACAGAGGAGAGAATATCAGAGGCTGCTTGTGGACAGGGCCATGGACAGGGAGAAGAAAAAAAAAAAAAAGGTTGATTCATAAAATAAATTATTCCCTATGAATTATTCACGCAGGGCTATCTTAACTGTTATACCTACTTTCCTGGCCTCCCTACAGGGGTTGACAATAATGCAGCTTTGTCAGTTTCTAGACTTTGATTTTAGCAGGAATAAAATCTCGGAGCGTGCAGTTAGGTCTACCAGAGTCAGTCAGGAGGTGAATTTGGTCCTACGAGTTGATTTTTCTCATTGGCCATGACAGTGGTATGTTATCAGCAATCATGAACCCAGAAGATGCAGTCAAGAATGTTAGTCAGAAAAAAAGCAAAAAAAGTCCATTACAGCACTCTCCTGATGTTTCTTTTCCTTTCTAGTTAAAGAGCAAAAACACTCAAAGCAGTGGTGAATGTGGATTAAGAATCTGGCAGTTCAAGCTCTCAAAATTCAGGTGGGTTCATCTGTTTTATGAACTCTTCACCTAGGCCCCAATTAGTATTATATTAACCTCCTTAAATATCAGATTGCTGTGATCTTACAATACTCCAAAATGGTCTATTAGCTACCCTATTTCCTGGCTCCGTCAGATGAAAATGTCTACAGTAGGTCACCTGAAAGCATTACTCAATTAATTCAGTGAGCTGCAGTGGGTACCCAGGATGTCTACCAAGCACAGGGAGCTCAGAGGGTTTCTATTACAAAGCCTTACGTTTTTACATTACAAGTGCATGTAAACATGATCTGAGGACTCATGCACCTGGATCCTTGAAAGAACTAAACCTTGACCTCCTGCTGAAATTGATAAGAATTAGGTGCTTAAATCCCATGAAGAAGTAGTGCCACAATATCTTCAGTGGCTTTGGATTAAGTCTCAGGCAAATTAAATTATTAATTTTGGATGGTGTGAACACCATCTTGAGCCATCAAATATTCTGTGCATATTGCAGTTTACAAGAAAGGAATGAGATATTTCAATTTTTGGAGTTCCAGAGATGCAGGAGATTTTGCAGGTGGGCTTGGGGGAAAATCTCATTTTGTTTTCTAAGCCTATCCAATCATCTCCTACTGAAAGTTACTCAAGCTGTTGCTTTGAAAAAGCCTTCTGGGTAACTAGCTGTATATTTCAGAATCTGGCTTTAAATAGGCTTTGAAAATGCAAGTTAAGCTCCCAAGCCAGCAAGACATTTTGTAGGTTTTACCTGAGGTGCCTGTTATATAATTCTATGACACCACGTAAAACCTACTGCTGTTTGTGGAGTCATGGCATTGCCTTTACTGAATCCTTGCTAAATCAATCCAAAGTGCCATTTCCCATCTCCTTCCCCAATCATGGCTCATTAAGCATTGTGCAGAATGTAATCTATTAGCAGTGATTTCCTTGGCTGGTGAGAGAATCATTATGAGTCGCTACCTTTTATAAAACAAACAAACCAAACAAACAAACCCCCCCAACATTATAAGGCCTGCCACCATTAAAGAGATTGAATGCAGGAGGTGTGTATTTATGCCATTGAGCCAACTTAAATGTTCATAAAGACGATGAAACTTCAGTATCCTGAGTCGTTGATTTCGAGCTTCAGGTCAGAGACAGATGACTTCATGCTGAGATTTATTACTAAGAGGCGAAGCTTTGGAGTTTGTGTCAAGGTGGGCTCATCCATCACAGGAAGAATTCTGCCATAATATTCTGCTGTCAGATCCCATCTACCCTTGATCAATCTATCAGTCGGCCTACTTAGGAAATTGTACATAAACCCAATATAATCTGATTAGACATCCAAAACCACCATCAATGGTTAATCATGCAGGTAAATTGTACTGTGCTAAATATGATTCCTTTCCTAGAGCATGCACGTGGTGTAAGACATGGCAGGGAATGTCCCCAGATAGCTGTCTGCCTGAGGAAATTCTCAGTCCTCTGTGCCTGGGGAACACGTGTTAGTGCAGTATACCCCTGTTAAAAATCCAAATCATCCAAAATCATCTGCTTCTTGTGTATGTGTGGAAAAGCAATAGTTTGTACTTCTAAAGTCTGGGTATCAAATTTTAGCACGTTTTGCAGGTGAAAATGTTGGTGTTTATCAGCAGGTACAGAGAATAGGCTATTTCAAGTTAGTATGGTAATGTTATCAGCATTTAGTGGTATCTAGTTGTGGGCTCTGTGATATAAATATCTGAACTCTGATACAGGAAGGTGGACTTAGTGAATTTTTGGTTAGATTTTAAAACGTGGATTTCTGAACCTTAGGCGACTTTCAGACAAAGAAATCACTGCTTCACTGGACAGATTTGTAAAATTACTATAAAGTCCTGAGTGTCCCTTATTAGAACAGCTCCATAGGGTAAGGCAATCATTTAAATATCAATCAATAATAAATATCAATCAAATAAAATTGAGCATTCTTGTAGCACTTACACAATGAAATCATAAAATGGTAATTTCCCTCTGATTTGAATCGCATCACATTCCACTTTATTTCCAAAGAAATACTCAGATCACACAGTTGAACAGAACCTTGATCCCATTATGCCAATTTGAGTATTTTGTCCTTCCAGGGTACAGCTGAGATTTGGGACTGCTGGATTACAACGCTGAGCTCCCATGGTTTAGCAACTGATGCTGAGCTTCAGTGTGGCTGAGACATTAAGAGAGATGAATTTTCCAAAATGAGGCAGACCAGTGAACTGTGCTGGCAGTGTAATTCCATTACTTTCAAGGAGTTGAGTCTGTTATAGCCAGTCAAGTGGAACAATGCTGTACCTTAAAGAAAAAAAAAAAAAAGAAAGAAAAAAAAAGTTTGATTTCTATTATTATTATTAAAACTATTATTATTATCATCATCATTCAGTGAAAGAACACCAAGAAATGGAGAAATATGTAGAGTTAAATAATAAATATGATACCCAAGGGAAAGAATATTTGTTGTTATGGGGTGTCAAAAAAAGTCTGATCATAGCTGAAAAAGCATCTGACAATGATTCCCAGAGAAATTGTTCTGAAATGGAGTTGGGAAACACTTCACTCTTTGGTGCTTTGCCCATAAGGGGTGTCTTCCATGCCAAGTGAAATGTTATAAGTTTCCATTAACTAAGGGTTCAAATTCAATAAATAACCAAAGAGAAGGAGACTGAGGTTAAGGTAAGATGTGAAGAGCTACTGATAGGAACTAGAAGCTTGCCCCAAAGTCTTTTGCCTCAAGTGTCTCAGACTTGCCTGTTTGGATAAGGAAAACTATGCAGATTGTCTAGACATGCAGAAAGTGACCACATCCTTCAGCTTTATCTGAATTTCCCTGAAGTTGCATAGGCACAAGACATTGATGGTGTTGTGAGAAGAGAAGATATTTCTCATCTCTTCTTTCCATTTCCCATCCTGAGTTTAGAATATGTGGAAAGTCTCATAAAAGAAGGCTTGAGGGAAATTATTCAGAGATGGGTTAACAGAAAGCCTCTGCAGGTACAGATGATGAGTAAAGAGAAAGTGGAGCTCAGCAGAATTTGTAGTAAAAATGACCAGAATGGAAACACGGTTTCTGCTCCTGTACAAGGTCTTTGTAAACTTTTATCTGCTTACTTGCAGGAAGATCAGACACTATGCACCTGCCAGCTACAGCTCTGGGCTTGGATTTATTTTTTCTTGCAAGTTGTTTCATATCATAGCAATGCTGTCCCTTGGCTTCTGGTCAGATTGGACAACGTGCCAAAGCACCTTCTGTCTCATGCAAATGGACACCAAAACACCACAAGTTTTATTGGGCATCGGGTATGCCTGTTTCA